TACAGGGTCCGAAATTGCACTTTCCTGGTTGCCAATGCGACTAAAAATTTTGCACTGGCAACCAGAATTTCACAACTGGTTGCCAGCGGGTGATTAACTATTTCAAGCCAGGATAATTACACAAACTTTGATTTTCAGCCAAATCTATTAAAATAAAATTCAAAGCCGCCTGTCATTTGGTCACTTACTTTTTACCTTTCCGCTGCTTTTGAAGTATAAAACCGATTTTCCTGTTATTATAAATCTTCCACAACGTTTCACAGCTACAATCAGTGCGAAGCTTTGCCGCCATGTTTTTTCAGCGGTTTCCCATAATATACGTATTGCAGGTGCAAGAGGCCATGCGCGTCCTTTTTCCCTAAATATTTATTCAGGCGATTTGGTGTCCAAAGATGTTCTGAACTCTTTCCGTAATTTATTGCAAAGTGGAGATGGAACATCCGTGAAGAAATTAGTGGAAGATTTCGATATTCAACATGGTGATCCGTCGATCATCTTGACAGAACGCGAAAGGAAAGATTGTTTTGAACATAGAGCAAAGAACCAAATGGCAGTTTTCAGTCGGATACATTTCTTCTCCAAAAGGTAGAGACAAGAGAAGGTATAAAGTTGGCAGTCGCATGAAACTGCGTATATGGCCGGCATTCAATTTGTTCGTCATGGTTTTTCAGTGGTAGGTGTATAAATAATCAGCGTGTTTATATTTGATCTTGTCGTTAGTGGAAAAATTGCCATCATTGTGGCCCCACACACGTTCTCTTTGTTCTGATTCTTAAAAGAAAAATTGGCGATCAGAATTTTCCATCTGGCGACCAAAAATTTTGGTTTTTGTTTCACTGTGAAGGAAAAATTTTATTGACACTTTTTGGCGACCACATTTTTCCATATAGCAACTGAAAAAAAAATTTCAGTTGCCAGTTAGCGCCTGCCTAAAAAAGTTAATTTCGGACCCTGATTTAATGACACTGTTGTTTGTTACAAAGCAGGCCTGGGGTTATTACTTTTTAAAATGTTTAATTACACTGTTTAAGAGAAAGGTACTGCATAAGGAAAATAACAGCAACTAAGCAAACTATGTATTGTACGCAGGTACGAACATATTTGCAGAAAATCGTCTGGCATTGTAGCATTAACGAATTATACATGTATCTGGGCATTTTCATTCACTTTTAATGTTCAATTTGCAGTCCATGACTTAATGGTACACAAGTAAATGGAACAATAATAGTGCACAAAGGCAAGCAGCTACCGGTATATAAAAGATGTCTTCCAATTTGTGGTCCCAACACTTTGTCTTTGGGTCCATTACTTATGGTATGGCGACCAAATTCTCAGTCAATAAAAATAATTACAATTTCTCTTTGGTATCTAGGGACTGCTACATTGGGGAGTACGCACTGTTCTGAGTAACTTGTCCTTTGAACAGGGGATACAAACTCAAAATGTAAAGGCGCAAATTTTACCAAGACGGTAGTTTTGTTCGCTCATGTTTGATTATTTATAGTTTCTTCAACAGCAAGCTGGTAACCCATCTGCATCATTACAAACTGGTTTCAATGTCATCCCAGGAGTCACTGGACCAGGTAACTATTTCTATACCTTGGGTCCTAAAATTGGTTCATGCTGCAACTGTTGATTTAGATACCAGTGTTCAGTATTTTTTTTTTTTGTTTAAAGGTGCTCATTTTAGGTTGGTAAGACCAGACGCCATTAATTGAATCCTTTTTTTTTGTGCTGTAGCTGTTGCTCCTGGAACCATGGGTGCTTTGGTGGCTGCTTCTGTACTTGCACAACAACAGCAACAGCACCAAGCAGTACAGCAATCATCTTCATCACAGAACAACATCTTAGGAGGGACGGCTGGTCTGGTAAACAGTAATGCCGTATCTACAGGTGGTGCTACCAATACATCTTCAATGATTGGAGTGCAAGGTGTCCCTGGAGTAACTGGCCTTGGTAAGTGTGATCATTTTGCCCTTATGTTTCATATCAAGCCTGATATCTGGAGAAGGTATGAAAGTTCTTTGTCTAGTTATTCATATGCAGAAAAAGGTATAGAAAGTGAAGCCCAGAATTTGATCTAAGCTGAAACAAGATGATAGGATTTTGTTAGGTGAGATCTGTGTCAACAAACCAAACTTTCTGTTCTGGGAGATGAGGCTATTTTGGGAGGCTATTTTTCAGGGTATCTGTGAATATTGAAAATTCTAATTTTTAGTCCCACGAGCTGTGTGTTTCAAATCCAGTTGTCCCCATCCCTTTTGTTTCATTAAGGTTTGGTCATCTTTCTTTATGCAGATTAATGCATTGTTTGATTGCATGTTAAACTATAATTTGCTTGACTGTAGGTATGAACATGTCCGGGATGGGTGTTGGGAATCTCAATGCAATGGGGGCTGGTACCCTTGGTATGGGAATTCCTGGCCTTAGTAACATGACTGGAGTAACTAGTGTTGGTGGTAACATACAGACTGGAGATGCGCTTACTCAGGCATACTCTGGAATACAGCAGTATAATGGTAAGAAAGAACATAGTGAGATCTTTATATTTGGGAAGATGTTGGTTAGGTATTGTATTTTTCAAGCTATGGACTCCGCTGAAACTGTCCAAAAAAGAAAAAAGAAAAACACTGGACTGGTTCTGCTGTAATATGGACCAGACCAATTTCTGTAAAGTTCTGAAATAATATTACTTTCAGAACTGTATAGGAGTTCAATAGATTTACATGTATTGTGATACTTGGCTCTCTTTTTTGTTTTTTGATGACAATTAAGGCATTCATTCTTGACAAGTTCAACACATTCACATTCATTTTGTTAGTCCAAGGGGAAATAAAGCTTGTTGTTGTCGTTCATTTGATTTATAATCACTTTCCCAGAAGTGGAGCTGAAATCATCAGTCTACCTGATGACCTTCAAAAAAAAAAAAAAAAACGGTTGTACCTATAAATGTACCTAGAAATGGCTAGTGGTAAATTGGTAGGACAAGGTGACAAAATGATGGGTGGGTAACCCTCAGTGAGCTGCCATCCCATCCATTTCATTCTGTATGAGCAAAGATAAGGTCTAGCAGCATGGGCCACTTTGGTGGAGTTGTGAACTATCTTTTACCTTTATATGCTTGCTACATGTCCATTACATCATTTCTTTCAGCAACATTTCCAGGTGTTTATGGTCAAACTATATTCCAGCAGCAGCAACTACAACGACAACCACAAAAAGAAGGTATCTGTGAATAGCCAAATTAGATGGGATTATTATAACACAAAGAGCAAACCTGAGTCTCGTAGGATTTATTCAATATGGTAATAAACAGGTTTCTTGTACTGATGTAATTCCTCAAATCCTTGAGATATGCTTAGAATGCAGTAATCTTAGAAGGTACTAAAATGCAGCTTCACAAAAAAATGGATTGGGTTGCCTGTGTTACACAAGGCAGAATGTAAGGAAATTGTTGGTAATCCTGCATGCTTGACTGAAAGAATCAGATCTCTTTTTTTTGAGTAGGCAAATTCATTTCTTTTGCCAAATACCTGTACTTCAGTTTCATCGTTTTAGATGAAGGATTTTCAGCAGGAGGGTAGCTGGTTTTCACTGGCAGACAAAACTTTTTGAACTAAAATTCTCTATAAGAAAAACCTTCCTCTAGATGGTCTAGATTGTCCTCACGGCCAGTCAATTTGCCTAGTGCCTGGTGCTTAATAAAACCCATGAGGACAGTAATTGTTGCCAAATGCCTCGTTTAGTTATACAACCATTCAGAATTTTTCAGAGCTGAAGAGAAGTACACAAAAAATAACAAGATACATGTACAGCTGAGGACTTCTCACACGTCTTGAGTGGTTTTGAAAATTCCAATCTTGTGATGTACATGTAGGTAGTACAGTGACTTAATAATGCAACATACAGGGATTATTTAGAATCAGACATATAGGGTGCCTAATACCGGGAGCATTTGATAATGGGGTTTACTGAACACTGAGTTTGCCTTGGTTATGTCATCAGCATTTATTTAATAAAATAAGCTTGTTTCCTCTAATTTATTACATGATGCTTGTTTCTTACCAGGTCCTGAAGGAGCTAATTTATTTATTTATCATTTGCCGCAAGAATTTACTGATGCTGATCTGATGCAGATGTTTATGCCTTTCGGCACTGTAATAAGTGCCAAAGTGTTTATAGATAAAACAACAAATCTAAGCAAATGCTTTGGTAAGTTTTTTTCTTTACAGTATGAATTACAGTAGAACTCTGTTGATACATCCCCCTTTGGGCCAGTTGGTTGTATTAAAGGGACTCTTAGAATGCATAAATCACTCGCTGAACATTTTCCTTGCTCAAAAAACCAAATGTGACAAGAAATTGACCTTAACAGCATGCAAAGAAAGGTGTGTCTGATAGCGTGGGGCTGGTGGTTTCTATCCTTCACTGGATTGTGCAAATAAAGTTTTTTGAGGTTATGATTTGAGTAGATTTATTATTGTGTTAGTGGGAAAATGTTTTTCGGGTTAGTTTAAATGACGTTTTGGCTAGTGCTTCCTAGAAAACTACACTGTTTTTGTGTTTTGCATAATAAGAAGGTAACCTCATTAACAGGGTAAGGTGGGGTTCCACTGTACATGACTATATTATGCTCATGGACAGAGTCTCTTTATATGTTAGTAATGTATTATTAACCTTGAATTCAAGTAAACAGCTATACCCCTTAATCATCCTAATTTGGTGGACAGTACATATTTAGTAAGTCAATAACACTGTCTATATTTGTAGAGGAATTGGACAGAAAGAAAATTACAAGAAAAATTCATTAACTGAAGATACCGTATACAATAACTTTAAGAGCAATTCTCCAGGAAAGTGAAGCAAAGTTGGAAATGAGAAATTTTAATCCCTCTTCAATTTTTGTGTGGAGGTAGGGTGCCTTGGGGGATAAACAAAAACAACCATGAGAAGGTGAATTGATCAACATGACACAAGCATGGGACAGAGAAAAATTCTAAGTCCCCGACAGGAATCAAACCCATGACCTCCCGAACACCGGGCGGGTACTCTAGTATGCAGGACACCTGTCATATATTAACTTGGTTAAATGACCTTGCTCTCCGTGAGTTCTCGTAGCTCAGTGGATAGAGCGCCCACCCAGTGTTCGGGAGGTCATGAATTCAATTTCTGTCAGGTACTCAGAATTTTTATTTGTCCCACGCTTGTGTCATGCTGATTAATTCACCTTCACATTTCATTACTGAGCTTAAAATTCACCATCTTTATTAATTTATCACTACTTATGATGACTTCGATAGCGTTGATCCTAGCAGTATGCAGGACACCTGTCATATATGAACTCAGTTAAATGACCTTGCTCTCCATGAGTTCTCGTAGCTAA